TATGTTGCTGTGGGATAAAGCACTAGATAGCATGGTTAGTTTGAACCACAAGATCGGCAGTTCAAACTCACCAACTGTTCCATGGAAAGCCTATACAGGGTTGCTATGAGTCAGAACCAACTCAACATCACTTAACAATAGCAATAAGTGTGGTGGTGTTGTAGGATAAGCACTTACTTAACTGCTAACCACAAGGTCAACAATTCAAACCCATCAGCCCCTCCTCAGACACCCTATACAGGTTCGCTATGAGTCAGAACTGACTCCATGGCATTTAACAACAGCAATAACACCTAGTAAATATGTGGATTTCCCAGGAAAGTGAAAACATAAACTGAGGAGAAAAGCTGAAGTTTTTAAGAACCATGGATTGGTATCTCTTTCAAGGAAACCTAGGATGCACTCCATATCATGGCATATGAAGGCAGTTTCTGTTTCAGATTGCTTGTTGGTGTTAAGGCCTGTTGCATTGATTCCGACTCTAGTGACCCTATTTAGGGTTTCTGAGGAGCAAATCGTGGATTTGAAACACCGACTTTGTGGTTCAAAATGATTTTGAGGTCTGGTGCTTATCATACAGCGATTCCTAAAAGTTCAATAGTGGTCCAAAAGTACACAAATTTTTAGGAAGTTTAAAAAAATTCCGTAAGATGATAAAGATCATGTTGGCTTGTTATTTGGAATGCTGTTCTTGAACTTGTATGTGGGGGAGTTAAGTTTTAAAGCTCTAGAATAGGAGGCTGCCTTTGAATACATGGATTATAGATTATAGGGATTTGGGTTCTTGTACTATGGTCACTCATTTTGCAGATGGAATCACAAAGGCTGAGTTTAAATCAGTTCTACTACAGCAATGATTACTTGCTTTTGGGTGACTTCCTGGGGTCACCTAAAAACGAGTAATTACTGCTGTAGTAGAACTGGGTTCTCTGACCCTTAGGTCAGGTAAGTAATTATTCTTTATTGACATGATATGGAAATAAAGATGAATTCATAGAATGCACTATGTGGCAAAGCCTTCGGTATGGATTGCATCTCAATGTAAAGAAAACAAAAATACTCACCACTGGACCAATAAACAACATTCTTATCAATGGAGAAAAGATTGAAGTTGTCGAAGACTTCATTTTTCTTGGATCAGCCATCAACACTCATGGCAGCAACAGCCAAGAAATCAAATGATGTATTGCATTACTAATCTGCTGCACAAGATCTTTTTAAAGTGTTGAAGAGCAAACATGTCAGAGGACTAAGGTGTGCCTGACCCAAGCCATGGTATTTTCAATAACCTCATATGCATGTGAAAGCTGGACAGTGACTAAGGAAGACCATAGAAGAATTTGAGTTATAGTGTTGGAGGAGAATATTGAAAGTACCATGGGCTGCCAAAAGAACAAACAGATTTATGTTGGAAGAAGTACAGCCAGAGTGCTCCTTGGAGGCCAGGATGGCCAGACTTCATCTCTCATACTTCAGATATATTGTCAGGAGGGACCAATCACTGGAGAGGGATACCATATTTGGTAAGGTAGAGGGTCAGAGAAAAAGAGTTAGACCCCAAACGAGATGGATTGGCCAAGTGGCAGCATCAGTGGGCTCAAGTGTGGCAACAATTATGAGGTTAGCCCAGGATCAGATAGTGTTCGTTCTGTTGTACATGGATAGGGTTACTATGAGTCGGTTCCGACTTGATGGCACCCAACAAGAAACAACAACAAAGAGATGTCTGGTGTATGAGCTTGGGTGGTGGTGGTATGCCATGGAGTTGGTTCCGACTCAGAGCAACCCTGCATTGCGTACAAGAGGTTGTAAATTATTTTGGGAACAGAAAGTCTCATCTTTGAGGTTAGCAGCCTGACTTGTAACAACTACGCTACTAGGAGGTAATCTATATTTGCTTGGAATGGCCTGATCAATAACAGTGTCTTTGCTAACCAAGACGCTGTGAACCACACTGAATGGCAATAGTACTTATTTACAGTAGAGGTTTTAGGTCAGCTTGACCACACAGATAGTCAACTATGTCAAGGTGATGGAGCCCTGTCATCATTGAATTTTGTCCCCTCAAAATATGTATCAGCTTGGCTGGGCCATGGTTCTCAGCTGTTTGGTAGTTATGCGATGATCCCTCATGAAGTGATTTGATGTGATGTGATAAACCAGTAACAGGATTAAGGGTGGGATGTTGTTGTTGTTGTAAAGTATGATTCAACCCAGCCTTGAGGATGAGTGCCTATCCTGTGGTGTGATACCAGGACAAGTCAGTTACACAGTCATAGCGACCCTGCATAGCATAAAGCTTCCAATTGACTGAACCTTGTGGTTCAAACCTGCCTTTCTGTCCAGTGCTATCTCCCACAGTGTCACACCAGGACTCCTAAGGGTGGAATGTTGTTGTTAAAGGCCGTCTAGTCAGTTCTGACTCATAGGGTTTCCGAGGAACAGCTGGTGAATTTGAACTGCCGACCTCATGGTTTAAATCAACCTTGCAGTCGAGTGCTTATCCTATGGCATCACAGCAGGACTAAAGGAAAGATAAGCATGTCACTACACAATATCATGGACTATTGGCAGCCAAGGAAGTTCTCCTAAGACTTGGTGCCACACAAATTATCTCTATGAGTTGGAACCAATTTGATGGCACTTAACAATAACAATCACCACTCAATGTTGCTGGGGAGTTCAATGCTATCAGTGACTTCACTGGGAAGGGCCGACTGGAAGTTCTTCTGGATCATCCTTTTGCTGTAATAAACTATAACCTTGTTTCAATAAATTTTGTATTTTAGCAAATTATTAAGCCTAAGGGTTCAGAGGCTTCTTGGGGATCCCTGAGCTTACAGGAACATTCAAAGGATGGGAGGACACCCAGGCAGAAGAAACAGTGGGAGAAATGATATGGGGATACAAAAATGTGGAGAGAGTCGGGTTCAATGATAGACTAACTAGTGTGCTTCAGCCCAAGGTACAGAGTCCTGGTGTGGCGCAATAGGATAAGCACTAGACCCCAAGGGTGGTTTGAACTGCAAAGTTGGAGGTTCAAATCCCCCAGCCCCCTCCTTGGAAACCCAACTGAAGGACACTAAAAGAACAACAACTCAAGGTATTGGTGGTTATGTTCTGTGGAGTCGGTTCCGACTCATAGCGACCCTGTACAGTGTTTCCAAGGCTATAAATCTTTATGGGAGTAGAAAGCCTCATCTTTCTCCCATGGAACAGTTGGTGGTTTTGAACTGCTCTCCTTGAGGTTAGCAGCCCAATTCATAATGGATAATATAAAAAATAAGTCTAGAAAGGCATAGATTAAGTCTTGCTTTTCCTAACCCTAAATTTTATTAATTAGGAATACTGGTATGGAGCTAAAGAATAAATTGTTATTGTCATTAATTGCTGTTGGGTCGGTTCTGACCCATGTCAACCCTGTATAGGGTTTCTGAGGAGTGGCTGGTGAGCTTGAACCACTGACCTTGCAGTTTAAATAACTTTGCAGTCCAGTGCATTAACCCACAGAGCCATTGTAGACTGCTAACCATAAGATTGAGGGTGGGGTCAAACCCACCAGTTGCTTCTCAGAGACCCTATGTTGTCATCGTTAAGTGCTATCGAGTTGGTTCCGACATATAGCAACCCTGTATAAGGTTTCCAAGGAGCAGCTGGTGAGCTTGAACCACTGACCTTGCAGTTTAAATAACTTTGCAGTCCAGTGCATTAACCCACAGAGCCATTGTAGACTGCTAACCACAAGATTGAGGGTGGGGTCAAACCCACCAGTTGCTTCTCAGAGACCCTGTGTTGTCATTGTTAAGTGCTGTCGAGTTGGTTCCGACACATAGCAACCCGGTATAGGGTTTCCAAGGAGCAGCTGGTGAGCTTGAACCACTGACCTTGCAGTTCGAATGGCTTTGCAGTCTGATGCATTAGCCTACAGTGCCACATCAGGTCTCTCAGAGACCCTATACAGGATTGCTATGATCGAGAACTGACTCAGTGGCACTTAACAACAGCATTGAATAGTTAATGACAGTTGTTAGCATTTAAAAAACCAAAATGTCACTAAATTGTGCTTGACCCAAACCATGGCATTTTTAATCACCTCATGTGATATGAGAGCTGGACAATAAGGAAGACTGTAGATAAATTGATACCTTTAAATTATGGTGTTGGTGAAGAATATTAGGTACTATACCATGGACGACTACAAGAATGAACAAATCTGTCTCGGAAGAAATATAGGCAGAATGCTACTTCTTATTATGTGTTGTTCAGTCAGTGCCGACTCATAGCGACCCTGTATAAGGTTTCTAAGGAGCAGTTGGTAGGTTTGAACTGCCAAACTTATGGTTCACAGTCCCATGCTGATCCTACAGTGCCACGCCAGGAGTCCAGAATGCTCCTTGGAAGCAAGAGTAGTGAGACTTCTTATCACCGACTTTGGATATGTTATTAGGAGGGACCAGTCCCTGGAGAAGGACATGATGCTTGGTAAAGTAGAGGGCCAGAGAAAAAGAGGAGGATGCTCATGAAATAGATTGATACAGCGGTTACAACAATGGGCTCAAACATAACAATTGTGAGGATAGCATAGGACTGGGCAGTGATTTGTTCTGTTGTAAATGGGGTCACAGTTAGTCAGAACCAACTCAATGGCACCTAACAACAACAACAACAACAACAGTATTTATATAGCATCTTAGAGGTTGAAAAGGGATTTCACACATATTATCTTGTTTGATCCTCTACAGACCAAAAACTGAGAGATTATTTTAAGTTACTTGTTTAAGATTACATGTCAAGTATGCTTGTGAGGTTGGGACTTGAGATTGCTTCCCGTGGTATGTCACAAAGTGTGTATACCTTTAGACCTTCCAGTGTGCATCGAGACTACAAGTGACCAGAAAAAAATACGGCTTGCTGTCTTTCAATACGGTGCCAGACCAGTGGCAAAATTAGTCAGCAATTGCTCAGAATAGTATCTCTATTTAGTGGTGTGATGTACAGACCTGTGTTGTTGCTTTATTCACTCTCTCAATCTTGAAGTAGGAAGTTCCGTTATGCTGCTTATTAAGCTTTGCGATGGAATGATTTAAAGCCTCCTGTAGCTCAGGGCTGTTGGCACTTATGTCCTGGGGGCATCCAGGGCACATCTCCGGAGGTGGCAGTGCAAATTCAACTGTTAAAAGATTCAGATATGAAGTCAGTGTGTGTATTAACAGAGCAGCATAGCCTAGCACAGCTCCTGTACATACCACAGCTTCCCTGATTTTAGAGGGAAAACTAACGAGTGGGAGATGGTTGTCTGGCTGACCTCTACCTTCCTGTTTCCTCTTTCCTCCTGTCCTCAGAGCCCAGTGGGGTTAGGAAATGGTGTTCAGATAGAAGCTGTTAGGGACTCAGTCCTGCCACACTTCTGAGTATTTGCATTTGGGGTAGAAATGTGTACAGAGCAATGTTTAGCTTAAAGGACTGACTTTCTAATATGGGGAATAGTCTAAGTCCTATGGCCCTGATGAGCAGCTAGTGTCAGGAATGCTTCTCAATGTACAATGTACACAACTATCTTCCAAGTAGGAGACAAGCCAATTTTTGTTATAAGAAATACTGACTTGGCCATAAACTCAAACTATCTCCTCCTGCCCCTCATTATCATATACGGGGGGTGGGGATGTTTTAGTTGAAAAGATTTTATTCTGAGTGCTTGAAAATGAGGTACAGTTCTCCCAAATTATAGCAAATGACTGCAGCACATCTTGCACACAAGGATGACCAGCTGGCATTGCACTCTGAGGCCAGCTTTGCCCAGAGGAAACGTATTTCCCTCTGTTACCATATTCTTTTATGGTCACTTGAGGAGTACTCTCGATGGACATATTCACTGGAAGGTCATAGGTTATATACACTTTGTGATGTACCATGGCAGGCAAAACACAATTCACATAAAAAGACCTAGCCAGTTATCAGAGACAAGCATGTATTATCCCATACCTGGAAAGACGTCACACTTCTGCTCCAAGGAAATGACTATATCTTGATCATTCATGTGTACAATATCTCTACATTGACCTGTATCCTAGTTTTTAAAAATAAGTGCACGATTAAACAATTGTTTTTGAGAAGCTTTAAAAATAAACAACTAGTAAGATTAAAAACAATATATCTACTTTCCAATTCATTGTATAAGAAAAAAAAAGGAATGAAACAAAACATTATCTAATTGCAATAGAGAGAATAAGAACAACTGGTAATAGCATCAAAAACAATAAGAAAAATGTATATACATTTATACCTAGAAAGTATGAAATTAAATGACAAGAATACTGTGAATAGAAAAAAAAATTGCCATATGAGTAAATGGATAAAATTATCTTATAAGAAGACAAAGTCTTACAGAAGTAAATTAAAACCAAAATGAATGTATTACAGCTTCAGGAAACATATATTGTAATAAAAAGATAAAGAAAGCTTAAGAAAAGACGATCAGACCTCTATAAAGTGATTATGAACCATAAAAAGAAACCAGAGTGCCATTAATATTGTGTGAAGAAAAACTCAAGGTAAGAAAACAAATCATAAAACTCATAATAATAGCTTTATTTCTTTTAAAGTTATAGTCTACAAGGCATGGAATAAAAATATAAAATATTAGATATATGACTGGAAATGTGTACAAAGAATTGTGATGGGAAAACTTTATATACAGTTAAAATTCCATAGTCTCCACTGACCTTTTTTCTTTTTGATCTTTATGGACAGTCAGACTAAATGGATAAAAATAATTAAGGCCAGAGGAGACTTTAACGATAAAGATTTATTTTAAAGTTTTAATAAACCCATTACTGTCAAGTCCTTTCTGACTCCTAACAACACTACAGAACAGAGTAGAACGGCACCCATAGGATTTCCAAGGAATCCTGGTGAGGTGCTGTTGGATCAGCACTGTACCACTAACCACCTTGTGGAAGGTTCAAACCCACCGGTCACTCCTTGGAAACCCTAGATAAGGTGACTGTGAGTTGGAACCGACTCGGTGGCACTTCACCACAGCAACAACAATCTTTCTGGAAGCAGACTTCCATATCATTCTCCAGCAGAGTAGCTAATGAGTTCAAACTGCCAACCTTTCTGTAAGCAGCCAAGCACCTGATCATTTTGCCACCATGGTGTCTTGGAAATATAAACATATCTCCCTAATTAGTTGGGGTCTTCCTTGGCTAAAGGAAACAATGAAAATCAAAACAACAAAATTGAGAATTTCACAAACTATTGCTGGAGCAGCTTTCAGTGGTATATACTTTCATATTTTAAAAAGAGAGCCAAAACACAAAATAAAACAAGATAAAAAACCAAAACCTAGGTGTTTATTTCAATAAGTTATTTAAACGAAGAATATAAGCCACCTTATAGAAAACAAGAAAGAGTGAGAACTAAGACAGGAACACAGAAACCATGTAGTCAGTTCCCACTCATAACGACACTATGTGCAACAGAATGAGACCCTGCTTCATCCCGCATAATCCTCACAATTACTATGTTTGAGCTCATTGTTGCTGTCATTGTGCCAGTCCTTCTTGGTGCAGGTCTTCCTCTCTTTCACTGACTCCATTTTACCAAGCATGAGTCTTTCTGCAGGGACTGGCCCCTCTTAACAACATGTCCAAAGTATGAGAGAAAGTCTCACCATCCTCTCTTCTAAGGAGCATTCTGGTTGTATTTCTTCTGGGATAGATTAGTTTGTTCTTCTGGCTATCAAGGGTACTTTCAATATTCATTGCTAATGTTATTGTTGTTATGTGTCAATGAGTTTGTTCTGACTCATAGTAACTCTGCACCAAGGCTTTTAAAAAATCTTCCCTGGACAGAAAACCTAAGCTTTGTCCCAGGGAGTAACTGGAGGGTTAGAACCACAGACCTTGTGATTTGCAGTCCAGTTGTTGTAAAAGGGTATTTGCAATGAGTAAGTCATTGGTCTTGCAAAATTCTATTATGTTATTTCAGCATTGTTTCGAGTACGAAGGTCTTATTTCCCAACTAGTGATTTTTCTTCTTTGTTTCAACTTTCTCATTCCAATCATCAGTACTTAGTATTACATTTGATTGTATGTTTGATCAATTTCAGAGTGAAGAAAATAACACTCTGAGTAAATTTCATACTGTCTTTAGTGTTCGGTGCATAAATTTAGTATTGACCGATCTTCCTTGTAGGCATATGGATACTATCCTATCACAGACATCATTGTACTTCAAGATTAATCTTGAAATACTCTTTTTGATGATAAGTGTGATGCCATTCCTCTTTAATTTGTCACTCTCAGCATAGTCACTGACTTGGATTCAAAATGGCCAGCACCAGTCCATTTCAGCCCACTAATGCTGAGGATATTGATTTTTATGCATATTCAATTTCATTTTTGACAACTTCCATTTTTCCTAGATTCATACTGTGTACAATTCATGTTGAATTTATTAATGGCTGCTTGTAGCTGTTTCTTCACATTTTGAGTTGTGCCCCATCAGCAAATGAAGGTCCTGAAAACTTTACTCAATTCATATAGTTAAGATCAACTGTACTTTGAAGAGATAGCTCTTCCTCAGTCATGAGTTTCTTCCAGCCTGAGGGGCTCATCTTCTGGCACAGTATCAAACACTGTTCTACTGCTAGTCATAAGGCTTTCAGTGGTTACCCATTTGGAAGTGGTCTGCGTCTGTTTCTGAGTCTGCCTTAGTCTGGAAGCTCTATCAAATGCTGTACAACATGGGTGACCGTGTTGCTATTTACAACATAGGTGGCAAAGCTTCCAGCATCATGACAACATACAAGTCACCACTATAGAACAAACTGACAGACAAATGGTAGAGAAAGCACTAGTGTTAGCAAACAAATACAAATGATCATTTCAGCCTGAGGGGGGAAAAAAAACTAAAAAACACAAAAGAGGCAATACAACAAAGAATTCAGAGAAGTACAAAAATATAAGAGATTATTATGAACAATATTCTGGAGAACTATAAATGACCAAAGGAGCTCTGGTTGCCCAGTGATTGTGAGTCGGGCTGATAATCTCAATGTTTGAAACTTCTGGTTGTTCTACATGAGAAAGATTAGGCTTTCTGCTCCCGTAAAGATTTACAGACCCAGAAACCCTACAAAGGGTTGTTATGAGTCAGAACTGACTCCACGACACACCACCAACAGTACCACCACCACAAATGACCAATACTGATTCAACAACAACAAAACATGAACAGAACAATGACTCTCAACTTCTCTTCCTTTTCTTACCTCCAGTTAACCTATGCACTTTTATAGGTATATTATTTTGTTAGTTAAAGAAATATAGCATTTCCATATATTGTTTCTAAAATAGAGGAAAAATATGAACTACCAACTAATTCTATAGAATTTTAATCATATACTACACCAGAACTCCATGGGATAGTCGAGAAAACTGTAGACCACTTTTATAAATGGAGAATTCGAATTCTTAAATAAACTAGAAATCGAATCTAAATGCATTTTAAAAGAATTGTTTTTGTTGTTACGTGCCATCACGTCAGTCTGACTCATAATGACCTATATACAACAGAATCCTGCCCTGTCCTGCAGCATATGAAATGTTACAGGCCTAGTAAAATGAATAGAATCAATAGAAAACTGCCAGAATTGATCAGCAAGTTCACTATAATACTAGGTATAAAGTAAAGCTATAAAAATGATATATTAAAAAAATTAATAGTAGTAAAATCCAAAAGAATAAAATAAAAAGAGAAATAATGACATTTAATCCTAATAGCAACGATCAAAACAGCAAAATAAACAGGAAAACTTTAGTGATAAATGGGTGTACATAAAGAAAATGATATAACATTAGAAATATAACATAAAACTTAACTACTAGAACAATATAGAAAGTTTTGGACAAAAAGATTGCCAATATTGCAAATATTTCAATTCTCCTCAAATTAATTTAGAAACACAATGAAATTCCAAACAATGTGACAATATAAGTTTGCTTTACAAAAACCATTCTAAGGTTTGTTTAGAAAATATAAACACTAGAGTAATAAGTCATATTTAAACTTGTTATAGTGTTATTAGTACTAAAACATGGTGGTATTGGTACAAAAAAAGAACAGATCTTAGTACTTGTAAGAAATATTATGGGACAAAGGTGGAGTCACAAATTTATGTTGAAGGAAAGAATGTTGAGCTATCTGGTTATTTTCTTGAAAAAGTCAATTTTGATAACACAAGATACAGAAAAATTAATTCTAGATAGGTTGGAAAGGTACATTAAAAATACTGAGTATAAACAAAATGAAAAAGAAAATAAGGTGGCTATAGAGCAAATGGTAGCAGAATTCAAAAGGAAAATATTGGTAAATTTGCTTACCTACAAGCCAAAGCAATTAAGTCAGAAATATCATAGTCCAAATTAAAAGATAAACAACTAGAAAGTATATTTGCAGCAAATATGACCAATAATTGTTATCTTATATATGCAAATAGCATTTTCCAAATCAGTAAGTTTTATCCCAAAGAGAAATAAGGCAAAGGATATAGAAGACAATAAATTCAACCCATACAGCACTAATATATATGAAAATATAGTGGTTAAATACTCATGTAAGTTATTTTAATTAATAACATTATTGAAATTACATCTTGCTATGTGGATTTCTCTCCCCCCAAAACCATAATTTAATAATTAGAATTTTAGCATCATAATTTTTAGATTAAGGGACTTTGTATGAATCTGCTCTTAAAGCACACTCTTCTGCTAAATGAAAATATTCCTGGAAGGTATCTTGCCTAAATGTTCACTAATCACTGCCTCTTTGAGATACACCATTTTAGCATCCATTCGGTCCAGTCAATAAGCCATAATCTCAGGATTCTTTCATTGTCTTTGATTTTGGAACCAATGATTATGATAAGTCTTGGTGATTTTCTTTTGGGATTACACTATATAGGATTTGTCCAACTTCTTGGATGCCAATCTTCTAATCTTTTATGGAAAATCCAAAGCTTATTCCTGATAAAAATACTAAACAAAATAGAAATAGAAGGGACATTCCTCAGCATAATTAAGAGCAGCTCAGGAGAAATGAAAAGTTACCTGCAAAGGAGAATCACTAAGACTAAACTCTGATTTCTTAGTAGAAGCCATGCAGGCAAGAAGGCCATGGTATGGCAGATACAGAAAACAGACAAAAAATTGCCCACCAATAATCATATAACCAGTGAAGCTGTCCTTCAAATACGATGGCAAAATTAGGACATTTCCTGATAAACAGAAATTAAAATACTTTTCAATAAAAAGACCAACTTTATAAAACTACCCAGAATTCAATCCAGATACAGAAATATTCAAAGTAAAACCAACTACCAGACTGAGATTAGGGAACCAAAGATATCAATATATAATAAAATGGGTAAAAGAGAAGATATAGAACTTTCAAATGACAAGGAAGTCAAGTGGATTTCAAGATAAAATACACTGTTTTAAGCAGGGAAGACGTTAGTAAATTACAGGGGAACCTCAAAGGAAAATAATACAACTGCACATCAAAATAGGAAAAGAGGAATATCAGAAAGATTTAGTAAACATTAACACAACAGAAATGAAAATGAAAAGAAACCCTCCAATCAAAATGAACTCAGCATAGAAAATTAACGTGGAACAAAAAATTCAGCAGCACACAGAAACATACACAGAAAAATGACAGCAATCAAGTTATACCAGTTGCTAATTATACTGAATATAAATTGATTAAATACACCAGTTAAGACACAGAGAGAACAGAATGGATAAGAAAACAGGATCCTTCAGTAAACTGTCTACAAAAGGCATATAAAAAAGATGGAAACCATCCAAATGCTCAACAACAAAAGAATGGTTAAACAAACTTTGGTATATACATAAAATGTTGTTGTTGTTAAGTGTTGTTGAATTGGTTCTGACTCATAGTGACCCGGTATAGGGTTTCTGAGTAGTTGCTGGTAAGCTTGAACTGCTGACCTTGTGGTTCAAACCTACTTTGCAGTGCAAAGCAGTAACTCACAGTGCCACACCAGGACTCCATGGGATAGTAGAAAAAACATTAAAGAATAATAATGTGAAACACCTCACAATGTGGTTGAACCTGTAGGCTATTACACATGTGAAATTAGTCAATCACAAAAGGACAAACATTGTATGAGACCAGTGTTGTAAAAAGGGGGGGGTGGGGAAGAGATTTTCTTGAGAAGATAAAAAGAAATACGAGCTGTGACACAGCTAGATGTACGCACACCCATGTTAATTGTAGCACTATTCACAACAGCAAAAAGATGTCCTGAATGTCCATGAACAGAAGCATAAACAAACTTTGGTACAAACCCACAATGGAATATTCTGCAATGTTGAAGAATAGCGAAGAATCTACAAAACACCTCGTAACTTGGAGGACATTATGCTGAGTGAAACTAGTTAGTCCTGAAAAGAAAAATATTGCAGGAGACTACTGTCGTAAAAAGTTAAACAAAAGACTTTCTTGCTAAATGAAATGTTCTGTGATGGTTTCAGAGCACGTGAAGGATGGGAGAGAAGGGTAGAAAATATAGTGAATAGAGGTAAAATACTGCTAACTGATGTTTCATGGAGTGGGTTGCAATCATTGTAATGACACGTAGTGTATTATTTGTTGAATGTTGGACTGATGATCTGTTCAGTAAATCTTCACTCAATTCACAATCAAAACTTGAAACTAAGAAAAATAAAGCTAGGGGAAGTAAGCAGATAAAAGTTTGAAGTGAGGAACTGTCCTGAGTAGAGTTAAGAAAAAACAGACCTGGTGGTGTAGTCATTAAACATTTGCTAACTGAAAGGTCAGTAGTTCGAACTCCCTAGCCACTCTATGGCAGAAAGATGTGAAAATCTGCTTCCATAATGATTGTTGTTGTTGTTGTTAAGTGTCATAGAGTCAGTGACCCTGTAGAGGGTTTCAGAGGAACGGCTGGTGAGTTTGACCTTGTGGTTCAAACTGAACTTGTGGTCCAGTGCTTATCTTAGAGTACCACACCAGGACTCCAGTAAAGATTACAGCCTTGGAAATCCTATGGGCTGTTCTGTTCTATCAAATAGGGTTGCTGTAAGTCAGAATTGACTTGAAGTCAGTAGGGTTACAGCTAAGGAAGCCCATAATGCCATTTAGCACATAAGAAAGAGAAGGAGATAGGAAAATATGAAGATATAACAAAAGCCTAACTATTTTTTCATTTCATCTGGCTATTCCAATCAACCAATTCCTGTCCACTCTACTCTGATGCATGGTGACCTCAGGTGCTCCAGAGTAGAACTTTTCCACAGATAGGATTATCAGTATGCTTTTTTTTTGCAAGTAGATCAATAGGCCTTTCTTTCAAGACATCTCTGGTGGACTCAAATCCTCCAAACTTTCTGTTAGGGCTGAACATGGAAACTGTTTGCACCACCCAGGATATTCCTATTCCCTGGTTTACTCTGTAAATATGTATTATTGAAAGATGTGCATATTATTTTACAGGCAGACAAGACAACCTGAATTGTAACTTGAACTTTAGGGTTCCCAAGTGAATGTGAATAAGAATTGCTGAATGTCATCTAAAATTTTAGTGATGAAGTCTTCCCATACAACTTGATAGTTTCTACACCTGAAAATACTATAAACAAAATACTAGAAACTTAATGATTAGGTTTTTGTATACTTACACCATTCAACAGAGATTTGCAGTCAGCAGTTAATTGAACATTCTCCTTAGAACAATTAGTTTGCACAATTGTGTAGGAAATGTTAACACTCCATCCAGCCGTCACCTGAAAGAATTTTTGGATTATTAAAGGGAACTTAAACATTATTCACTGTGAGATATAGATGACCATGATATGAGAAGCTTAAAACACTACTTGGCATATAGTAAACGCTCAATAAATATGAACTATTATAATTAATATTTTGCAAAAGTCATTACCAAATTCATACTGAACACTTTGAAGCTCTCATAGTCCTTAACACACACACACACACACATATAAACACACAATCCAACACATCTGAAATGAAAAGAAATACATAGATAAAGTTATTGTACTCAAGTGAGACCTAGCAACTTTTCGTTTGCCAGGCTGTAGAGAGAATATGATCTGTTGAGTTTAAAATATATATATTGACACTGCTCTTTTGGATGGATTAAGAAAACTTTGGAGTTGAAATGATCTTTATTGGTGGGTCTTTGGGTTTCCAAACTGCCAGGGAATGAGATTTCATCTCTTTTATACCAGGTTGTGCCAACTTTGAGAGTGATATATGATGCTAATTGAGTAGAACATACACATTGAAGAAAAACAAGTCAGAAGGTCTATTAAATATGGAGGTTTGCTAATAAAAATAAATCACTTAAAATCAGTAGCTGAAATATAACGGGCCCAGTCAATTGTTGGTAAGGACTTGGTAAACCAAGTCAATGAAAAGACTAGATTTATAGCTATATACATTTTTGTTTGATGGTGGCCCTATGAGTGCAGAATGGAACTGCGCGCCATGAGATTTTCAAGCTGTGATCTTTCAGAAGCAGATTGTCAGGCCTGTCCTCTAAGACACCTCTGGATGAGTTTAAACTGCCAACCTTCCACTTGGCTACTAGTTTAGCATTTAACCATTTGGACCACTCAGTACCTCCTTGTTTGATGACATTGCTGTTATTGTTAGGTGCTATTGAGTTGGTTCTGATTCACAGCGACTATATAAAATAGAAGGAAACACTGCCCACTCATGTGCCATCCACACAATCATTGACATGTTTGTGCCAATTATTGTAGCCATTGTGTCAGTCCTTCTTGTTGTAGATCTTCTTCTTTATCACTGACCCTGTCTCTACTTTACTAAGCATGATGTTCTTCTCAAGAGACTGGTCTCTCCTGATAACATGGACAAAGAACATGAGATGAAGTTTCACCCTCCTTGCTTGTAAGAAGGAATTTGGCTGTACTGAACACAAATGTGCTAGTTCTTCAGGCAGTCCGTAGTTTAGTCAACATTCTTCACCAACACCACAATTCAAAGGCATCATTTCTTCACTGGTCTTCCTTATTCACTGTCCAGCTTTCACATGTGGTGATTGAAAATATCATTGCTTTGTCTGTCACAACTTAGTCCTCAAGGTGACATCTTTGCTCTTTAACACTTTAAAGAGGACACTTGAAGAATCCTTTGATTTCTTGATTGTTACTTCCATGAGCATTGATTATGGATTCAAGCAAAATGAAATCCTTGACAACTTCAATCTTTTCTCTGTTTACTATGATGTTATTAATTGGTTTAATTGTTAGGACTTCTGTCTTGTTTACATTGAGGTGTAATCCATAGTGAAGGCTATAGTCTTTGATCTTCATCAGTTAACATTGCGGTGTAATCCATAGTGAAGGCTATAGTCTTTGATCTTCATCAGTTAAATTCTTTAAGTCCTTTTCACTTCCAGCTAGCCAGGTTATGCCATCTGCACATCACAGGTTGCTAATGAGCCTTCTTCCAATTCTAATGCCATGTTATTCTACATAGAATCCAGTTTCTTGAATCATATAGTCCAGCTCAGAAGATCAGCATACAGATATAGTTGATGGATCCCATCCTACAAGGTCCATATATATTCAGTTGTTGAAAATGGTATTTGTAATGAATAGCTAGTTGGTATTTCAAAATTCTATCAGGTGATCCCTAGCATCATTCCTATCACCAAGGCCATATTTTTCAACTACAGATCCTTATTTTGTTTCCAACTTTCACATTATACTGTTGTTGTTAAGTGCCTCAAAGTCAGTTCCTACTAACAGAGACCCTGTATAGGGTTTCTGGGGCAGTGCCTTTTTTTCAGAGCAGAAAATCTCGTCTTTCACCTGAAGAGCAGCTGGTGGATTCTAACCACTAACTTTGTGGTTGTGAGTCCAAAATTATCATACGAAGCTACATTATAATCACCATTAATTATCAATGTATCTTGATTGCAATCTTGATCAATTTCAGACTTCAGATGTTGGTAAAAACCTTCAATTTCTACATCTTTGACATTAGTGCTCGGTACACAAATTTGAATAATAATTGTATTAACTGGTCTTCATTTTACTTCACAGACATACTCAGGGCAGATCTTGACATGTTCTTTTTGACAGTGAATGCAATGCCATTCCTCTTTAATTTGTCATTCCCGGCATAGTAGACCATATGATTGTCTGATTCAGAATGGCCAATGCCAGTCCATTATTTCCCACTGATATCTAGGATATCAATATTTATGCATTTCATTTCAATTTTGATGACTTCTAATATTCCTAGAATAATGCTTTGCACATTGTACTTTCTGATTATTAACGGATATAGCAGCTGTTTCTTATCATTATGAATTAGACCACACCCCAGGGAAACTCCCCTTATATCGGACCAGGGTTATGACCTAAGTTAGGGTGTTGTATCCAACCCTAATCCTTAAACTGATTGGTTGAGCACGTCAGATCATATCATGGGGGATGATTATATCATCACATAAATGACAAACCACTGATAACGATGGCCCAGTCATGAGGGCACATATTTGCATTGGGCACAATTCAATTCGTGACAGTGACTCTGCTGATACCTGAAATACTGATAACAGATACTTTCCAGCATCACAGCAACACACAAGCCACCACATACAACAAGCTGACAGATGAGTGATGGTTTGATTATACGTCGTTGTTGTTTTAAGTACTATTGAGTCATTTCCACTCATAGAGACACTGTATTCGGTTTCAGAAGGATGGTTGGTGGTCTTGAACTGTGCCAACATTTTGGTAAGCAGTCCAGAGCTTATCCTACAGTGCCATACCAGGACTCATTGAAATTATAAATTAAAGGGTACCCAGAAAGCCCAGCCACCTTTTTAGATACATTTTTAACATTTTTGAGTCATGTTTAACTCATAATAACTCGGTGATGATATAGTTTTCTGAAAATTTTAGAGTCATAATGATTTTTTCTTTTCTTTGTCCTAGGAAAACACTTAATGCTTATGACCAATCAATCCAGTACAAATATTAAAGAAAATACCAGAAAGATTAGCCATTTGCTTCTGTTTACTTATTTCAGTATCCTAATCACACTGAGTAAATAGAAAGTTCTGTGCTAGTCATAAAAAACAAAACATACAAGACCTCTTCAGCACCAGTAGTGAAATAATACATTTTCCTTCCGTAGACTGGCTATTTTAGTTAGTGAAGCCCGAAACATCAAGATTTAACAAGTTTTAACTATAATGCATGAATGAAAGATCAAGGAACAAACCTGTTTTTGGGCCGACTTTACTTCCTGAAGAGTAAAGAGGTGAGAGTGTGCAGTGTTGTTGTTAAAGTATTCAATGGCGTGTCTCAGAACAGGTTTCAGTAGAGGGCTCTTGGTTGATATTGGTTGGAAACAGCCCAGGCAGTCAAACTCAGCTGTCATCACAGAGCCTTTAGTTTAACAAAGAATTGGCAAAAAGAACAAGTTAGATTCAAACCAATCTTTATTTCCCAGCATTCAGATATATTGCCTTTTACAAACAAGGCACTTTAGAAGTCCTTGATAAATAAACTTTCCAATAAATTCTAACATGCAATTAGGAAAAAAGAGAATGCACAACTGTTTCTCAGTCAGAGGGTTTAAAAAGCAAAGAAACAGCAAAGCAGTTGCTGTTGAGTCCATGTTGCTCATGGCCACCCTACATGAACAGAGTAAAACTGTGCTCCATTGGGTTTTCAAGGCTGTGATCTTTGGAAAGCAGATGATCAGGCCTTTCTTCTGAGGTGCCTCTGGTGGGTTTGAATGGCTAGCCTTTTGGTTAGTAGCTGAGCTCTTAACCATTTGCACCACCTACAGACTCCATCAGAGGTGAACTAACATATCATTCACACTTTGTTGTTAGTAGCCATCTAATTGCTTCTAACTCATGACAACCACCTGTGTGCAGAGTAGAAGTGCTTCATGGCATTTTCAGGATTGTGACTTTTAGGAAGTAGGTTGCCAGTCCTGTCGTCCAAGGCTCCTGAGAAAGCAGAAGGAATTGAGGTGCAGGGGCATGGGATGTGTGCATACAAGGATGTGCATTGTTGTTGTTGTTAGGTACCATTGAGTAGGTACTGACCCATAGCAACCTTATGCACAGCAGAATGAAACACTGCCTGATCCTGGGCCAACCTCACTACTATTGCCACACTTGAGTCCATCGATGCTGCCATTTGGCCAATCTATCTCGTTGGGGGATCTTCCCCTTTTCTCTGACCCTCCACCTTACTAAACATGATATTCTTCTCCAGTGACTGGTCCCTTCTGACAATATGTCCGAAATATGAGAGACGAAGTTTGGCCATCTTGGCCTCCAAGGAACATTCTGGCATGTGCATAGGAACCACATATTACTAGAACATGAGTACGGGGTGGGGGTTGGGGGTAATTGAGGCCTGAACAGCTGTACAGAGGATGCTCTGTTTTTTTATCCTGAACCTTACCCATTGGACTACTGGTTATTAACTATATTCCAAGTGTGATGGAATCTAATAGAAGCGATTGGGCCCCTCCTTAGAAAAATGCACGTGATGAGTTGAATTGCATCTCCAAAAATACATGTTGCAAATCCAAATATTTTGTAGTTTTAATCTCATTTAGGAATAAATTTTCTTTGTTCATATGTTGTTGTTAAGTGCCATTGAGTGGGTCCGGCCTCATATCAGCCCTATATAGGGTTTCTATGGAGCAGCTGGTGGGTTTGAACTGTTGACCTTGTGTGTTTGGTGTGTCTTAAGTCAATCTCTTTTGAGATATTAAAATCTAATCTACATGAATCTGTTTGTAAAAAGCAAGCAACTAAAAAGTGCAACTGGGAAGATATAGATGCGGTTCCACAAGGAGATCACCAAGGGACAAGGGACAAGGACTTTCCCCAGAGCTGACAGACTCCCCCTAGAGCTGGTGCTCTGATTTCACAAGTCTAACCTCCTAAATTATATTAAAAAAAAAAAGTTATTTGTTAAAGCCACCCACTTTTGGTGTTTCTATTGTTACTACTACTAATAATGGTAAAGCCACCACTAATTTGGTGTTTCTGAGTTACTAAAACACTGTACTTGTTGTTTTTGTTGTTGTTAAGTGCTGTTGAGTTGGTCTGACTTCATATTCCCATCTCCAAATGCTGCAACTATCATTGCTGCTGCCCACCAGTAGGGGGCGGGACCTGGCTTAGTTTGTTCTTTGTTTTTAAGTGCTGTTGAGTTGGTTTTGACTCATAGCAACCTTATAAAAGATTTCCAAGGAGCAGCTGATGGGTTTGAAGTTCTGACCTTGTGGTTCGAAGTTCAGTGCTCATCCTACAGTTCCACACTAGAAGTCCAAAAAGAACAAAACAAGAAATGGTTAATGTTCCCCCAAGGCAGATCTTGGTTACCTGGAGTAATCTGGCAGGTCTGGGTAGTAAGGATGAATTTTTTATTCTCTTTCTTCACTGTTGCTGTGCATTCTCCTGTGGCCTAGAGGAAAGAGAGAGAGAGATAATTTATGTTCATCTTCTAGGTGAAGGAGTTCATCTAGACCCAACATTCAGTTTCGTCGAGTGGGTCAAATTCATTGTGGCCCTATATAGGATTTCCGAGGAGTGGATGGTGGGTTTGAACCACTGACTTTGTGGTTCACAGTCCAGTGCTTTTCCTACAGCACCACAGCTATCCTTTTAAACATGTGAAGATTTTTCTAATAAAGTTTTGAGACATAAGAATGACTGTGTTGGTAATCTAACAATTATTGTTGTAAGTCATTGATATTCATGAAATGTTGAAGGAAAGGCAGCATGAATTAAATTTGAGTATTTCAAGCTCTCGAGATATTTCTTTGTCAGCAAAGAATATACACTGTCTCAGAACCAGCCTGCTAAATTGTCCTGATTTACCTTTCAATTTCAGTGCATTAGGAATATTCAAACAGATAAACTTCTAATAAATTTTAGTTTGTTAGAAAGAGCAGAGACCTTGGAGTTGAACTAAATGCTATCCAGTCTCAGTTCTGCCACTTGCTGTTAGACTCCTTAAGTCCCTTTGCTTCTGTGACTCCCCATTTCTCACCTGTAGGAGAAATGCCACATCTACCTCATAGGATTGTCATAGGTAGGGGGCGGACTGCAACTCATGGTAAGCCCATGTGTGTCAGAGTAGAACTGTTCTCCATAGGGTTGATGTTTCAGAAGCAGACCAACAGGAATTTGTTCCAAGGCATCTTTTGGTGGACTCCAGCCTTCATTCTTTTGGTGAGTAGTTGAGTCCATAAATCATTTGCAACAGCCAGGGACTCCCAAGAATTGGTAGCTGTTTAATTATTATCATTGGACATTGATTTTGTCTTGTCTTATCATTCTCCAGGAAATATTCTCCTAAATGGCAGAGACTCTCCTAGTCAGCAGAGAGTCCTGAGAGGGAGACAGTTCAGGACATAGCAGTTGATTTCCCCCACCTTCCAGATGAGAGCAGTGAGGAGCCTGGCCTATGTGACCTGCTTGGTCATTAGAGTTCCCTTTGCATGGGAGTAGGGTCCTTGGGAGGTGCAAACAGTTAAACACTCATTTACTAACCAAAACGATGGCATTCAAACCCACCGGAGATACCCTGTCATCTGCTTCTGAAAAGTCACAAGCTTGTTCTACTACAAATTGACTTGACAGTAATTGACTTGATTTTGGGACGGCTTATTACTCCATGTTTAACTGATACCTCTCCATCCTTTCTGTCTATGTAAGAACATAGATATCCAGCATTTGACTTCTCTACAATGAATTTGAGTGTTTATGTGTATCCCTCACAAGCAGGCTTCAGAACATGATTCATTCCCTGCACAGTACAGACATCTGGCAGGCTGGAAGGCCAACGCTGAAGGGGTGGGAACTGTCCCTCAAGAAACTTACGGCTTCTGCAGCATCTTTGTAGTCACAGTCCTGCCAGATTTTGCCACTGTCAACAGGACAGTCACCCTCCTTGACTTCATATTTGAAGGAATAAGATGTGCCAGAGGCATCCTGAAAAAACAAACAACCAAATATATCTTTGTTTATCCAACTGACCCAAAAGAATGTAATTGAAGTGGTATCTGGTGTTGCTATAAGTATTTGATCTTGAATTGATTCAATGATGTCAGGCCAAGGGTTCAATAAAAGTATTGAAAGTTGTATTTGCTTGGAAAAACATTCTCAATATTTTGTTAAATAGAGTTTTTAAAGGTTACAATTTAGTAGCCACAGTATTAACCCACTTTTTAAAAAAAGCCAATTTCTAGATACATATACTACCTAAATCAATATGCAGCAATCTATGAGATGTTTGTCTCTGGGTAGTCGGATTACAGCGGACTTTCCCTTTCTTCTTTAAACAAATCTTCTTATGTTGTCGTTTAAACACACATATATTCCTTTCCATGCTTATTTGAAATGTATTTGTTATTCAAATATATATTACTTTCACAATTATTAAACAAAATTACAAGAGTTACTTTTTCATGCTGAGAAAAAGAAAGTCAACTTTTCTCTGAATGATGGGCTTAATGAAAGGATTGCAATAAAATTATTTGCTTTGTTTCTTATTTTATTTTTTCCTTGGAGGTCATGAAATAATAACTATATGTTTTAAAGTGCTATTGTCCTAATTTCAGATGTAAAGTCCTGCCTGACATATCTGCAGCCACAAGGAACCTGAGAGGCCAGGATGTCCAGTCTCTCCTTTTGCTGATGAGAGAAAGGAGGTCCCAGGAGCAGGCAGGATGGCTCAGGAGTGCCAGCCCCAGCTCCCTGGGTTCCTGACTCCCAGGGCTGCACTCTCTCTGAGTCACACTGTTTGAATCTGGGAGATAACAGAGTAAAACAAGACAGTCTCTGAGGTTCCTTCCAGGTCTCAGATTTTGAATCTTTCAGTGTATAAAACAATAGGAGAAGTGGCCTGGACTGTGCCCACAGGGAGAAGTAAGGATAAAGAAGAGATTACATGGACATTTTAGAGAAAAACATCACATTTGCCACAAAAATCAATAGCTGAAGACAAAATTAACAAACTGTCATATAAGAGCCCCCAAAGGCTAGAGAATCGTGTTAGTCTCATCTAGGATTTATGAATTTAGCTTTCCTCACCTGAATACACTAGACTGTGAAACAAAATGGAAACATTTTACTTTCAGGAAAAAATTAATAAACAAAACACATCCACTGTGCCTTCTTTTTGTCCTCTAGTTGTGAAAAGGTTGGATCCCCTCCCCTCCATCTATCCCCATCCTTATTCCCCACACTGAGTAACCACTGAGAAACAAGCTTTACTATTCCAGACACATAACCCTTTACCATGAAATTCATTCAAACACTTAAAGATTTGTATTTCTTTGACCTCACATCCTGCCAGGATAATTGCATGTGCATCATTACAGTGCTAAGAAAATGCTAAAAATGAACTAAATCATTATTGTTAAATTTGATGCCTTCAACTGTGAAATGTCTTTTCTGAGACCTCTTAGATCCTCAGGAGCCTCTCCCCACCGGAGGGTGGAAGCCTTTGGTTATATCTTAGATCAAGTGCAGGGACTCAGTTACTCTTCTGGCTGCAGCCTGAGTTCCTGGATCTCCCTTTCTGCTTGTTAAAACTGTCAAGTCAGTTTCGACTCATAGCCACACTATATAGGGTTTCCAACTGAGTCCTGATGTGGCTCTGGACTGCAAAGTTGATTTGAACAGCACTCAATGGTTCAAACTCACCAGCCACTCTTAGAAACCCTATACAGGGTCACTGTGTGTTGGAACCAACTGCAGGGCACTTAACAATAGGGTTCCCAAGGAGTGTTGTTGGGTTTGAATCACCGACCTTGTGGTTGGCAGTCCAGTGCTTAGCCTGCAGCTCCACACCAGGACTCTCTTTTATTCCATTTACCTTTGTTTCATTTCACCTGATCATCCAAGATGTAAGCTTCTACCTTTGATTTTTAGGTGTTGGGGGTAAGGGAGTAAAGGAAGGCAAAGATCTGGACTCCATGGGACAGCACAATCCCAAATAACTTCAAAGTCAAACACAGCTCACTCACCATCATGGTGACCTTGGTTATGCGGGACAATATAAACTGGTTGTCACTTTGGTTTTTGTTGTAGTTCGTCAGAGCAGTATCCACAGCGTTAAAAACTTCTTCATTGTTGCAGTCAATTTCCTGTGAGAAGGATTCCTGTGTCAAACTTAGGAGCAGCCTGGAACAGAGGAAAAGGATGGTGATTAGTTTCATGGTGTAACTGTCTTCCCTCTGTTTGTAAAGGATACTTAGAGTTGTCTCAAATGCCTTCTTGAGCCCTCTTCTCTCTCTGCCTCCTCACTCTGGAGATCTGCCACACACTTTTTGCCCTATTTTAAAGGGACAAATGAAACTGCTGGGTTAGCCAAACAAATTTCAGGCTGGAAAATTACAACACTGGGGTGTATGACCCACTTGTTTACATTCTAAAAGTACAGCAGGGGAGTATAAGCCCCTTTCCACGTGATTGCACAGTGTGCGTTACTGAGCAGACCAGATCAATATAAGGAAGAAGGAAAAATCACCCATCAACTCATGACTTTAGGAGTTTCCCAAAGCAATATAAAAAAGATCACTGCATGTAACAACAATGCAACAAGGTGCTGGTAAATACCTTTCGCACAGAATTTCCTTGCAGAAGGTTTGCATGGAAACAGGTGTGTATCAATCCTACTGCCTGGGGAAGCCTATGTACAGAGGCACCAAGTGAGTGCTCGGAGCCCCACACTAAGACAATGCTGTGACTTAAAATAAAATATGGGCATCCTGTCTGGTGTCTGGACCATCCAGCCGCTTTCTGCTTGTCTGTGTTCATTCTGTAAAGGAAAAGACTCCGCAGAGTAAAGAAGGCAGAGAAGACGCACAGATGGGCCGTGGGAAGCATGGCAGTCCTTGCCTTTGCTTGTTGTTTACGTTTAAGTGCCCATGGAATCCTTGTGTGGTGTTGTAGGATAAGCACTGGACCGCAAGGTCAGTTTGAACCAAAAAGCTGGAGGCTCAAACCCATCAGCCACTCCTTGGAAACCCTATACAGAATTGCTATGAGTTAGAACCAGTTCAATGGCATTTAACAACAAAAACTCAAGTTTAGAAAGTTTATCCATAGACCTCCTCTTCCTGGGTGGTCTACTTATATCCAAAAGGTTGCTTAGACCTAGTTAGGGAGCTAGCCACATGCACCTGTTGTTGTTAAGTGGTGTCAAGGTGGTTCCAACTCAGGGTTTCTGAAGAGTGACTAGTGAGTTTGAACCATCGGTGTTGCGATTCAAACGGACCTTTCTGTCCAGTGCTTATTCCTACAGTACCACAGTAGGACTCTCACTTGGGTTGTTGTTGTTAAGTGTCATTGAATTAGTCTGAATCATAGTGACCCTATATAGGGTTTCTGAGGAGCAGCTGGTGGGTTTGAATTGCCTCACTTGAGGTTGAAATTGACTTTGCAGTCCACTTGGGTTAGTCCTGTGTAAATGTTTGTCTTCAATTCAAAATACCAAAAAAGATAATTAACTTCTTTCTTGTTGTAGGTAGGATTTCTAGCTTGGCAATTCAGTCTCCTGAAAGCTTGCAGAAGAGTGGCAGCAACATGAGCTTGGCAGTGAATCCAATCTGGATTTCATTCTACCTCTGCTTCTTAGTTGTTATATTGTTACAGCAGTTTTAGATTCGTGGTCAAAGAAACCAAGGCCACTCGGAGAGGAGAAGCAGAGTTTCGGATTTTATTAAGCTGGCTGACTCAGAGGAGATAATTTCTCCAGATTCTGAGCTCCCAATAGAGGGCAACACGGGCCTATATGGGGTCAGAGTCCAGGGAGGGGCCAGGCTGCATACCTTTTTGAGGGCAGGGGGAAAACCAGGGGGATTGGTCCCATTTGGTGACCTGATTAGCATTTTAGCTTGCCTCCTGGGCTGGAGAGGGCAGTGAACTTTTCCTGTTTAATACAACTGTCAACTTTTAAAGTCTCAATTTTCTCCCTTGTAAAAATGTGGAAAATAGTATCTTTATTAATATTTGTTGTTGTTACTTTTTATTAGTACATGAGGCAATATACATACAGGGCCTTGTAATTAGTTTTTACAAATTATGCCTGCAACTAGAGTGAGAGGAATCCTGGTGTGGCACTGTAGGATAAGTACTGGACTGCAAGGTCTGTTTGAACCTCAAGGTCAGCAGCTCAAACCCACCAGCTGCTCCTCGGAAACCCTATACATGTTTGCTATGAATCAGAACCTTGGTCTTTCTGGCAGGCGTATGGATATTAATTTATCACATAGAGTACAGTATAGCAAGAAGATGGCTTTATATATATATATAAGCTTTTATTGTGAATTGAGTGATAGTTTGCATGGGAGAATATTGGTTTTGCACTCAACCTATCATATTTTGTTCCATTGCAATGATTACAGTACCCTCTATGCATCATCGGTTAACAGTATTTGCTTCTATACCCTCTGGGTGTTTTTTTTTTGTTTTTTTTAATGTACACAGAAACACGTAGGAATGTATAATCATTTAAATGACCAAAGATCACATTCTGCAAACCAGCCTTGTGACTGCCAGCACACAGCCTTTCTCTTTCCATGAGTTAGAGTCTTCAGCTGCTCTATCTCTCCATGCCATCATTTCTGCCTCCATCTCTGGTGTTGCTTTTTCTTTGGTTAGGGTCCCAAGTTCCGCTCATGCTCTTCTCTCTAGATGGTCCTAGGGTCTTCTGTTCCTGGAATGTAAGATTAACTATTCCTCCGTTTTGCTATACAACTTCAACCTTTACAGTTGTGACCATCGTAATTAGTCATGATAATAATTGCTTACTATTATTTGTGAGAAATAGCTATTTGAGTGGTCCATCTTCAGAATCAAGGATATCTTGGGGGTAGCAGGTTGGCATGACAAAAGGGAACTATGAGAAGAGGAAGAGACTAGTTTGACCTACCACACTCTTTAAAATAAGAATACACCAACCAAGGAAGTAGGGGAAGTTCATGGGTAGAGGGTGAAACTAATTTTAAATGAGAATGCTCCTTGTAGGGACTAGTAGGCACCATTCAGGAAAGATTGTAAAGTCCAAAGTACCCAGTAAAGGGGAAATGGAGGAGGGGCTTTTAACGAGCTAGGTTAATAAAACTCTTTGTCAAATGGTCATGCAACTGTGTCTTCCAGGCTAGGTGGCTGATTTTGCAAAATCGAATAAAGAAACCCTCACTTTCTAAAAATGAGTACAGATTGGATTACTTGAACATTTGTCAATATAGACAACATTTCTCACAAATTTGGGGGCTCTGGTAGTGTAGTGGTTATGAATTAGGCTGCAAATCTTATGGTTAGCAGTTTGAAACTACCAGCTGTTCATGGGAGAAAGATGAGGCTTTCTGCTCCCGTAAAGATTTATAGCCTCGGAAACCCTGTATAGGGTCACTATGAGTTGGAACTGACTCCACGGCACATAACCACCACCACCATTGAATCAAATGAATCCTATCCCATCTCCTTTCACCAGACCCATCTAGACAAGATGAAAACTATACAGTGGGAATTCTACCTTTACCCACACACTCAGAAACTAAACTCCCTCTTGAAAACTTGTAAGCCAGCCACTTCATATCTTTATACACTCCTCCCCTCATTTTAGGTAGCCAGTATCCAAGTTGCCCATCCCTATATCCCTGTGCACAGAAGATATAGGTTTGATCCTTGATGTGAAGACTCCTTCACTCTCGGTTGGTATTTTGAGCTACTATATCCATAAGTATAGGTCAAGTTGATAAAATTGTAGCAATTTACACTTGCTTCTTTATCAAATTTCTTAATCTTCCTCTAGTTGTGTCTGATCATCAAGCCATCGAAGCTAGATCAAATGAGTACTATCTCCAAGTTTGGGCGCTCTTGTGCATCTCCCCTCACTGCATTTCAGCTGAATGCTTCACTCTTAGTTCTAGCCCGCCATGAGCTCAGGACTTTCCACATCTCCCCAAACCTTAGACCAAATAGCCCTTCCACTTATCTCTCTCATCTTAAAGTCAACAGGAGTTTTTGGAATGTGGTAGAACTCAGCCCTGCTGAGTTGCTTATTCAACCTGTATGCTGAGCAAATAATCTGAAAAGCTGGATTATAGGAAGAAAAATGTGGCATCAGGATTGGAGGAAGACTCATTAACAACCTGCGATATGCAGATGATAAAACCTTGCTTGCTGAAAGTGAAGAGGACTTAAAATATTTACTGATGAAGATCAAAGAGCACAGCCTTAGGTATGGATTACATCTCAATGTCAAGAAAACAGAAATCTTCACCAATGGACCAATAAACAACATTTTATCAATGGAGAAAATATTGAAGTTGTCAAGGACTTTATTCTTCTTGGATCAACTATCAACACTCATAGAAGCAGCAGTCAAGAAATCAAATGACATATTGCATAAAGCAAATCTGTTGCACAAGACATTTTTAAAGTGTTGAAGGGCAAAGATGTCAGCCTTGGGTCAGACTAAGGTGCATCTTACCCAATCCATGGTATTTTCAATAACCTCATATGCATGTGAAAGCTGGACAGTAAATAAGGAAGACCAGAGAAGAATTAATGTTTTTGAGTTACGGTATTGGGGGAGAATATTGAAAGTGCCATGGGCTGCCAAAAGGACCAACAGATCTGTGTTGGGAGAAATGCAGCCAGAGTGCTCCTTGGAGGTCAGGATGGCCAAATTTTGTAGCTCATACTTCGGACATATTGTCAGGAGGGACCAGTCACTGGAGAAGGAAATCATGTTTGGTAAGGTGGCGGGTCAGATAAAAAGAGGAAGACCCCCAACAAGAGGGATTGGCCAAGTGGCAGCATCAATGGACTCAAGCATGACAACAATAGTGAGGTTGGCCCAGGATTGGGCAGTGTTTTGTTCTGCTGTGCATAAGGTCACTATGAGTCGATACTGACTCAGTGGCACCTAACAACAACAAACTCATTCAACAAACTATGCCTTAATCCCTGTATCCCAGCATCCTACTGTTCCAAGGTTGAGCATACACCACTATTTACCTCTGTTGCCCATTCAAACCTACCAAAGTGTTTCCCTATCTGCTTTATTCTTCCACCCCCTTCCCCTTTTTGTGTATTGTCCTCCTTTTCCTTTTATACTGCCCTCCCCAACGTCTGGTAGCATAGTGGTTACTAATCAGGCTGCAAGCCACAAGGTCAGCAGTTCGAAACTACCAGCGGTTCCACG